AGCTTTCGAGCGTTCTCTTTGGCCTCCCGATCTCACTTCAAGCGGATCTCAGATTGATAGACTAGCGAGTGGATAGCAGAGTTCACCTAAAAAGGAAAGCAAGCGTAAGTATCATTGACAAAAGGATAAGAAAATAGATGAAGAGGCAGGTTACTTACCGCCATACAATAGCTGGCCGCTTTTCCTCCAAGCTGACTTGTTGGCATGTCAGCCCACTCCACGACCTCCGCAGGAAACATTACGCCTTTGCTTTTGAGGAGCCTGAGCCTCGGAGTCATTATGCTTTCCTTTGTTGAGGAGGGATGAGGCTCGGGCACTGAAGTACCTTTGGGCTCGCGGGGGTGGGGTCTCCTCATCCTGATCTTTTTCTAGGTCAACAACTGGAGGATGGGGATGAACATCCTCCCCTGGGAGCTCGGCAGAGGTTGGCTCTAGCGCTGTGACCTCGGGTTCAGCAGGTACCGAAGAGGTAGCCTCCTCTCGACTGGATCTTTTCGAGGCCTTTCTCTTCTTCCCCTTCTGAACACTCTTCAAGAGGTTAGCGACGTCGACACCCATCATAGCTCCTACAAAAGAGAAGAAAAAAAGAATTTTTTCCAGTCAACTACGAACTAAAGTAAGTGCAAAAAGAGAAAAGAGAGAAGTAATGTGTGTGCCGAGGTAGAGGTCTACCGGGAGGACTCAGCCCAGCTTGCCCAAGCTTCTCCTCGGTCAAGAAATCTTCCATCTCAAGGCCAAGGTCCCTCCAAGAATGGATGACCACCCTAGTCTCTGCATCCAGCCTCACCCCGGGGTCCTTAATGGCCACTCGCCAATGAGTCGGGAATGGCCATCCTTTGGGGTTCCGAACAAAAAAGTGCCTTCTCTTCCAGGCTGATACCTTGTTTGGGTTACCGAATAGAACCTTGAACCCGGGGCGAGGTGAGATATAGTAACTCTGTCGGGTGTCACCGAACACGCAAGAAGAATTTTTCTTAATGGAACAAATTGAGCTAAAGGTATCTAGAGAGAGAGGTCGGTTGTACTCGTGGAAGAGTGATATCGTACTAACAATAGTACGGATGGAGTTCAAGTGTAGCTAATCGATGGTGACGTCAAAAAATTAATAATTTCTATGATGAAGTGGTGGAGTGGGAAGTGCAGCCCAGCTACGAGCTGCTCATCAAAAACCATGAGTTCATAATGGTCATGAACCCAAGGGTATTGACCCAAAGGAATGCTGAAGACGAGAGTATCGGGGAGACGGTAACGAGCTATTAAGGACAACAATTTGTCTAAGGTCATCGTGAAAGGGCTGAAGTTGTCTGGATCCCGACCTCGAGTAGAAGACGAGACCCCCTCTCTAGAGGTCGACCGCTCTGCCTGAGGTTCGGGTCCCTCAAACCAGGCTGGCCCGACGTCAGGTAAAGGCACTTCTCCTAAAAGGTTCAAAGAGAAGCTCTCTAGCGAAAAGCTAGCCTCACCAGCGAGAGCTGAGGACCACACCTTGGCACCCTCGGGCTCACTAGAATCACTAAGTAACCTATATATGCTAGCACTAGACATATTGGGCAGAAAAAAGGAAAAGAAAAAGGAAAAGGGGACAACCAGTGCAAGAAGACTAACTCACCGAAGAAGGTGATAATGACCTCAGACTTAAGGGGAGAAAATGGCGAGCTGAAGGACTCCGATGCGATCTCAAGAAAGCTCAGTTACACGATTTATGGCTAGGATAATGGGCCCTTCGGCCCCTATTTATAATCCTCCACATTTGGCAATCGACGGTTGAGATCTGTGCGATCTAATGGCTCCCATGAAAACCGGCTACACGCTACCCGAGGATGAAATCGGTTGAGTGCGCCCTTTGACGTCCGCGCGCAACCAAGATGCAATCTGGATCATTTCCTGGTTGAGTCAAATGATTGAACAGGTCCGACCAACGGTCCGCCCTCCATGTCACCTAGACTTTGTGCCAAATCCACTTGAACTCGTTATGAACTCCTCGTGTCAGGTCAGGACCCCTGGCACGAGGAGTGGGGGGCAATTGATGAAGGGTGACTTGGCACGACCTAGTAAGTAGAGGTCATGTGGACGCGATCTGCTCAAGGGATGACAACTTAGCGAAAAGAGCCCAGTCAGCAACAATTAGAGCTTGGGTATTCGGTCACCTTGGCATAAAGGCACATAGACACCCAATTTAGTTCGGGGCTAAAGAACTGAAGCGTCACATAATTGACTCCAAAAGCCTCCCCAGTGGACTTCGAATTTCCTAGGATCACGACATCTAATAACATGGCTCATTCTCACTCTACCCGAATCGGAGGAAAGCAATAAACCTTATCAACTAATGCATTGCTCTCCTTCAAAAATAGAACAGATCTTATCTATGCAGCCCAGAGATCCCGAAGCTTTTTCGTAAGATTCACGACTACTCCACTATATAAGGACATTGAACCTCAAGGCAAAGGTATGCGCGATTATTTGCTCACTAGCACTCAAGTATTCAACTCGCATCCATACTGAGTTAAGCATTGGAGCGACCTCGCCGGGTTAGCCACCCCAAATTCTTTGATCTTTTATCTTGCAGCTTGGTCCAGCTTGCCATGCGACTAGAGTCCTAATCATCTTTCAGCTAGAAATATCCACATCGCACACCATCATTTCTTATCTTATGCCCTTTCAGAATAGATATTCAGGTAAGGGCTAATAAATATATCTACCATCTAGGTTGTAATGGTTAAGCCACTCCTCTAGCATAAAACCACAATAGAAATCTAGCTGTAGGGTTGTCATATAACATGAAGGTAACTATGATTCTATGAGGTGCCTTGAGCTTGTGTTCTCTTCCCCATATTGAGCTTATGTGTCTACAAGCCTACAATAAAGAGAAAGAATAGTTCATCAATAAATTAAGGAAAAAGAAAAGGAGAAACAAAAGGTGATGGGACCAACTGTCAAAAATCAAAATGATCTTTGATGAATATTGACATTCCTTTCTTCACAGAAACTCTTTCTCCATAACATCATTACCCATTAACAGTGCCCTGTATATGGTCGAACCAGAGTTGTCCTCTTCAACTCAACGGGCCTAAACTTGATATTAATGTCATGGATATGGGTCGGCCACCTAAGTATCAACTGGGCTACCAAGCTAATCCTGTTGAGGTCAGGTCAGCTCAGGCACCAAATAACCACAACCTAAACTTCATAAATTTTGGACTGCCGAGAAAGATTCATGTTGAAGCATATGAGATGATGAGTTGTTATCTCCCTCAAGGTTTAGCTTTTGATGGGGAAAGCAAATGAAATGTCTCAAATCTGGGCTCAAACTACCTCTTCCATCAGACAATGCCTAATGTTGCAATATCTTTTTAACAACTACTAGTTTTTTGTAGATGTCTCCACAAAAGGAGGTTCACCATTCTTTCCTTTCACTGAAAAAGTGAAAAGGAAAAGAGTTCATGGGTTAGAAATTAGAATGGAACATCCCATCTCATTTGCAGAAAACCGTTACAACTCCAGCTCGATTTGGATAAAACCTTTATGGGGGTTTATGGATCGGAGACATGTTTCTTGGTCTTGTCTCTGAAGTCATTTCCTCACAGCACAAATTAAGAACATGCTCAAAAAAAGAAGAAAGAAAGAACCTTGTACTGGAATAGAATTCCATAAAAGAAGAAAAAGCCAAAAACGGAAATCTCTCACTCTTTCTCTCTCACCGACAAACCAAATACTACTAAAAAGATTAAAAAAGAAGGATGGGGTAGGGATGGAAAGAAACAAATTGACAAGACAATCAACCTAACGTTACGTTCATGCTGTGTATTTAAAACCACTATCAATAAAGAAATGCCAACTACTAATAACGTCACCTTTGAAAAAGAAAATCCCCCTAATACATATATAAAATTTATGCCCATGAATAAAAAAAATAACCCTGGTTTTCTGTGGAATTACAGAATTACCCTCTCCTACATTAACTATTAGGGGTGGCAACGAGCCGAGCTTTTTATGAATCGAGTTTCAAGTCGAATTCGAGCCCGATTTACAAGTTCGATTAATAAACGAGCCGAATTTGAATATATATTATATATAATAAAATTATAGAAAATAATATATAATAAAAATATTATAATTCTTAATTATTATAATTATCAAATAAAAATATATTTGATATAATTTTTTATTTTATAAAATATTTTTCTTCAAATCGAACTCGAACTTATGAGTTTTTGATTCAAACCGAACTCGAGTTCAATGTTCTAACTCAAACCGAACTTGAACTCGAGCCTTATACAACCTTGGGAGCCAAACTCAAGTCTCATACTATTCGACTCAGCTCAGCTCTAATCCACCCCTATTAACCACTATGTGCAAACATATGAGATTGAGGCCATTCGTAGTACGGGTCCAAAGAAGCAAAACACAAACAAAGACTACAAATAAAGCAAAGTGAAAATTAATAAAAAAAGAGAAAAATATCAGAATTTGCAATAAACTTATTTCCACCCCATACTTTTTCACAGGTACAAATGAAATTGCATTACAAACAAATAAAGGCCAAAAGGCAAACACTAAGGGTATTTCTGAAATTTTAAGAAAGACAAAGGCTATTTCAAAAGGGAGAGTGGGAAGATTGGAGTCCACCGACAGCTGGTCGAGCTGTGGTCCTCCTGCGTGCAAAGGACTTACCGACAGTAAGCGGTTAGCAACCGGGAAGTGGAGACTGGAGACAGGCTGTTAACCACGGCCGGAATGACTGGAGTCTGGGCTCTGGGCCCACATAATCGCTATTGGGCCAAAAAGAATATTCGCAGTTTAAAAAGCAAAACAAGAAGTGGAGCCCACAGCCCATCGGATTGGTTCGAGCCGAGCCGTTTTCTAAGCTTGGTGGCTTGGCGGGACCCTGGTTACGGGTTAACTCGGTAGCTGTAATGACCTTACAATAATAAAATATGAGATATATAAAAAATAAAGAAAATAATTAGGAAGGAGAAAAAAAAAGATTAAAAGGAAGCAAAGGAGGGGCAGAGAGATGATGGGCGAAGAAGCCGAGGGAGGAGTTTGGAAGCCCATCGCTTTTCTACTCGGGTTGAGGGCAATGTGACTGAGCGGAAGATCTGTTATCACTCGTGACACAACTTTTTCTTCTTCTGATCTCTGCAATGTGTATCTCATAAAACACATAAATTAGGAAAACTGAAGTCTTTGCTCGCCTGTTAGCTTTTCTTCCGTTCGGAAGCCATGGAAGCAAAGGCTGGAATGGTTGCTGGTTCACACAAACGAAACGAGTTCGTTATGATTCGGAACGAAGGAGAAGCTGGGGTGTGTTTCCTTTACTGAACCATTTGGTCTTTCATTTCCAAGATGGTTTCTCTTCTTTTTTAATTTCTGCATGGGTGTGTTGTCTGGATCTGGTCGTTGACTCTGTTGGTTTAGCTTTAAGGTTTAGTTCTAGTTTCTTCCCAGGGAATTGGATAATGGGTATTGATTAGATTGATTGAATCGGTATATCCATTATCTGGATTGCCTCAAAATGGGATCTTTTGGGATTTCAGCAGCTCAGATCTTGTTCGACTTGCAAAGTTTTCATGATTAATTTGTGGAGATGGTGGCGATTCTTTCTTCATTTATTTCTCTATTTATTCTCTCTGAACCTGAACGTGTCAAAGCTCATGTTTTGATGGTCAGGTTCGGTGAAGTTTGCTATCTCCCCCTCCAGTTCAGATCCCTTTGGAGTTTAGGAATGCATACATCCTTTTCCCCTATGGTTTCTTCATGTTGAAGCTCCGTGTTTAATTCTTTAGGTCACTTCGATACGGTTTATGGATTTTTTTTAGTTGAGATATTCCTTTGGTTTTTAAACTGACCTATAGTTATGATATATATATTTTTTTTCCTTTTGAGCTCAAATCGACTTATAATTTTGACTGGTTATGTGAAGTAGTTGGATATTGATAGAATTTCCTTTTTGCTATCTATAGTTTGAAGTGTCTTTTAATTTTTTTACAGCTATTGAGTGAATTTGGCACATCATTGGGAGGTTTAAGTCGAGATTTGGTACCTCTCATGGTATTACAATTATAGCTACAGTAGGCTATTAGCATTTGCAAGTTGAGCCCTATATGTATAATACAATTCTTTCAGCTTAGTGTAGGAAGTTTCCTTTGTTTCTTATCCTGGAACATATTTGATTGACGTATCTATGATGGTCCTGTAGCATGGTGAGTTGATAATTTCAGTTTCATGGAATTATTCTACATATTCTTAATTCATAGTCAATTTTGGTTGTGCATCATCATTTGCTATCTATGGTTCCATACTGGAAAAAGTAACTATTCAACTAAAGAGGAAGGGAATATTTAAGTTGTTTGTATCATACGGGCAATGTTGCATTGTCCTTGTTTTTTCTCTATATTGCCAATTCAATTATAAATTCCTCCAGAGTCTCTCAACTACTGATTTCTTTGGATAATGCAGCCCAAGCCCCTCAAGCATTTGAATGGGCAAGTGTGTCAAATCTGTGGGGATACTGTTGGAGTTACAGCCACGGGTGATGTTTTTGTTGCTTGCAATGAGTGTGCCTTCCCGGTTTGCCGGCCTTGTTATGAGTATGAGCGCAGAGATGGAAACCAGTCTTGTCCACAGTGCAAGACTAGGTATAAAAGACATAAAGGTTAGATTTTTGGTATACTCCAGTTTTGAATATTTTTCCTCTTTGTATTTTAACATGCGATTATAGAAAATATTAGTGGTGATACCATTCAATGTTGTTTATACTGGGTCTGGAACTTATTTTATGGGGATTAAGGCAATGAGGTTGCAAATTTCAGGAAGTCCTCGAGTGGAGGGAGATGATGAAGAAGATGATGTTGATGATCTGGATAATGAGTTCAATTACTCCCATGGAAATGGCAAGGGAATGAGACAGTGGCAGGGAGATGATGTTGACCTTTCTTCTTCCAATAGACATGAGTCTCAGCGCCCAATTCCACTTCTCACCAATGGACAGCCGGTTAGTTAGAAATGAAAGTTTTCCTATCTATATTTGACATATGTTCCTTTTAGAACTGGTTTCTTTAGATACAGTTTAGACTTATTTTCTGTACATTTGTCTGAATCCATGTGTGTGTGTGTGTGTGTGTTTTTTTTTCCATTTTGCAAAATCAAACTCGTGGACATGCTTTAGATGTCAACTTCCATTCTGTGTCCATGCAACACTAGGAAGTGGCCCATGGAGGCAGGATCGTTTCTTAAATGAAAAAATGAAATACAAGAAACTATTAGGTGGCTGAGTTCAGATGTCGTGAGTTTCAAGGGACTTTAATTATATAGCAGATAGGCAAATAAGATCTGGGGTTGGGGGAGCTTTTTGCACAGCGACAATTCTTTCTACACTTTTCCTGTACATTTCTTAATGTATTTTATATTCCCTAATGTATGTCTCCTCCTAGCTCTCCTGGCTCCTTCCATATATAATACAATGATTAGTAGTTATCTTCTCAAAATAAAATAAAATAAAAACATTGTTGATATTTCTTCCAGTTAAGGATTTATTTAAACAAGTGGAGAATGTGTACATTAGTATCCTTGTTTGCTGAAAGCATACATCCAATCCTTTCAGGTCTCTGGAGAAATGCCCAATGCTACACCTGATGATCAATCTGTGCGGACTACAACATCAGGTCCTCTAGGATCTGGTGAAAAGCGGGTTCATTCACTTCCTTACATTGATCCAAGCCAGCCAGGTACTATGGTTTTCTATATATTCTAATGCGTAAAATCTCAGCATCTTCCTTCTTGGATTTATTTGTTTTCATTGAAGCAACTCTTGATTTTTATTTTCCATGATATGATAACAGTTCCAGTTAGGATTGTGGATCCTTCAAAGGATTTGAATACTTATGGGCTTGGGAATGTTGACTGGAAGGAAAGGGTTGAAGGTTGGAAACTTAAACAGGAGAAGAATATGATGCAAATGACCAGCAGATACACTGAAGGAAAGGGAGATGTGGAAGGCACTGGTTCAAATGGAGAAGATTTGCAAATGTAAGAACTGGCTTGTGAAAGATATTAGATATAGATTTTCTTTGACCCTCAAGGGCTTTTCTTTCAAGCTTTGGTTGACTGAGAACTCCTCAAATGTTTAGTAGAGTTAACATGTTTATTTCCTCCATTGCAGTGCTGATGATGCTCGTCAACCTTTACACCGGACTGTGCCTATTTCTTCTTCCCATCTTACTCCCTATCGCGTTGTAATCATTCTCCGGCTTATTATCCTGGGCTTCTTCTTGCAATATCGTGTAAGCCACCCTGTGCGTGATGCTTATCCATTGTGGCTAACATCGGTTATTTGTGAGATCTGGTTCGCTTTGTCTTGGCTTCTGGATCAGTTCCCAAAATGGTATCCTATCAATCGTGAAACATACCTTGACAGACTTGCACTGAGGTTTGTTGACTGGGCCTCCTTGTTTCCTTCTTTTCTATTCCTTTTTTTTCCTCCTTTGGGTGGAGGGGATGGGGTCTCTTAATGGAGTATAAGCTCCAGTAAAACAAGATAAAAAGTTTACAAGATGAAGGGGGAAGAAAGGATGCCATTCTCTTCCATTTCTCTTGTGTGGTTTCTGGGCTGTAATCTTGTTAACTATGGGTTTAAAATCCACAGGTATGATCGAGAAGGGGAGCCTTCGCAGCTACCTCCCATAGATATCTTTGTTAGTACAGTGGACCCTCTCAAGGAACCTCCTCTTATAACAGCAAACACTGTGTTGTCCATACTTGCCGTGGATTACCCTGTTGACAAAGTCTCATGTTATGTCTCTGATGATGGATCAGCAATGTTGACTTTTGAAGCTCTCTCTGAGACTTCTGAGTTTGCAAGAAAGTGGGTGCCTTTCTGCAAGAAGCACAATATTGAGCCTAGGGCACCTGAATTCTACTTTGCTCAGAAGATAGACTACTTGAAGGACAAGATTCAACCATCTTTTGTAAAAGAGCGCAGGGCAATGAAGGTAAATGAGAGTGCAAAATACAACGCACACACAGAAAAATATATTTGATGTTGGACCTTGGCCTCCTCAGCCTTTGTTTCTCTGTCTCAAACTGCATATGTAGGACATTACTCAGTTGTGCTTTTTTAAGTGGTTGGTAGCATAATTTTCATGGTACCAAGGTGAACTTAGGTGACAGGAGAGCGCTTAGTTGCCTGGTCACCTAGGCACCCGCCTAGGCGCCGCTTAATGTCAAAAAAAAATATAGAACAAAAGGGGGACGAACCCCTACTTTCTTTTTTCCAGAAAAAGAAAATGAAGGTGCAGACCCCTGTTTTTTGTTCCAGAAGGAGTGTTTTTGTTTTAAGAAAAAGAAAAAAGTGTTGTAGTCCGCTGATATTTTTTTGTTCCACAAAGAAGTGGAAGAGAAAGGAGGAGTGGAGCCCCTCTTTTTGTTCTAAAACAGAAAATGAAGACGGAGCCCCTGTTTTTGTTCTAAAACAGAAAATGAAGAAGGGGCGGAGCCCTTGTTTTTTGCTCCAGAAAGAAGAAGAAGAATGAAAAGCATACCTTCTTCTGTGATCGATTTCCGTTTCTTGTTCAAAGGCATACAACTTGGAACCCTCGAACTCGACTTCGAATATCATACCTCTCAAACTCATCTTCAAACATTATTTATCAGAAACCTTGAGGTCCTTGATGAGATAAGAAATTAATAAAAAAAACTTATTATCTTATAAAATAAATAAAAATAATGATTCAGTGCATCATGTCTATGGTTATATTATAGACTTAGAATATAAAAAAAAATTATTAAATATACAAAACTTACAATAGGTTTTATCTATCTATCTATAGAGAGAGAGAGAGAGAGAGAGAAGAATATTTCTTGAAGAAGAAGAGAAGAAAGGAGAAAAGGAAGAGAAGAGATTTGAGAGAGAAAAGAGAGCAACAATGCTGGGTGCCCTCTTCACTATTATTTATAGTCTAAAATAATAAAGAGTACAAAGACCATTGTGCCCTTATAGGGCCGCTAACACATAAAACAGCATAAAACAATTAAAATAACTGCTCAAAAAGGACCCAACAAGAGTGCTGTGGTCCCCATTTCCTATCTAAACAATAAATAATCAAAAACTACCACTACAGACTACACAATTTGTCTAAAACCTCAATATATATATATATATGTATATCATATGGCGTTTGGGCGAGATGAGACCCAAAAAGCGCCTACACGCCTAGGCATCGCCATGACAACTATGGTTGGTAGTTATCTGTAAAGAGGCATAGCCCAAAAATTAGACTTAGCTAGGGAATTAAAAGTTTCCATTTTAGAGTAAGACATGGATAGGCTAATAAAATAATATTTGCAACTGGGTCAAAGGATCACTATTGGGTGGTTGGAAGTATATAAATATTGACTCCTAGTTGTGCTCCCATGTCCCATCCATCCACTTGACAATGTTGAATTTTGAGTTCATACATGATAAGGAGGATAGGTGTCATATAGGCCCAGTCATCCAGGTTAAATATATATTTTCCTCTTTATCCTTGATCATATAGAAGCAGTAATATGTAGTAGGATGTGACTATTTTCTTCCATTGTCTTGGATTAATGTGGGAATAATATGTTTTACAGAGGGAGTATGAAGAATTCAAGGTGCGAATCAATGCCCTTGTTGCCAAAGCACAGAAAATGCCTGAAGAAGGTTGGACAATGCAGGATGGCACTCCTTGGCCTGGAAATAACCCTAGAGATCATCCTGGCATGATCCAGGTAATGTTACCTTTTTCTAGAAACCAATTGCCTTTGCTTATACTAAATATGCTTAGCAATTTCATTTTTGAAACTGCAGGTGTTCTTAGGTCACAGTGGAGGTCTTGATACTGATGGGAATGAGCTACCTCGACTTGTTTATGTTTCCCGTGAGAAGAGACCAGGCTTCCAACATCACAAGAAAGCTGGAGCGATGAATGCTTTGGTTTGTAGCAACTATATCTTATGTGTTATATATTTTTCAGTATTTAATGAATACATATATGCCAGATGAATTCTTTTCTATGTCACTAGCATTACCTTGTTTCATAATTATGCCCAGAAAAGTCCACATTATTGTTAAAATGATTGAATAGTGCTGATTCATGATTCATGCACCATATTCTCAACATAGATGGGCTATTTATTGATGTCACTAATTCTCACATTGCAATCTTCTTTATTTCTCACCTTCTCAGGATGTGATTTTTGTATATTCTCCAGATTCGAGTATCAGCTGTCCTGACCAATGGTGCCTATCTTCTGAATGTTGATTGTGATCACTATTTTAATAATAGCAAGGCTCTTCGAGAAGCCATGTGTTTTATGATGGATCCTGTTCTTGGAAAGAAAACCTGCTATGTTCAGTTCCCACAGCGATTTGATGGGATTGATTTGCATGATCGATATGCCAATCGCAACATTGTCTTCTTTGATGTATGACTATAACCAAATCAAGTAGAAAAGTTGACCTTCTAGATGTAACTATACATAGGATTGGACAATGAAATTCTTATTTTTGTTTTAATTTGCAGATCAACTTGAAAGGGTTGGATGGCATCCAGGGTCCAGTCTATGTGGGGACTGGATGTTGTTTCAACAGGCAAGCTCTCTATGGGTATGATCCTGTCTTGACTGAAGCTGACTTAGAACCTAACATCATTGTCAAGAGTTGTTGTGGTTCAAGAAAGAAAAGGGGTGCAAATAAGAAATACATTGATAAGAAGCGAGCAATGAAAAGAACTGAATCAACCATTCCCATTTTCAACATGGAAGATATTGAAGAGGGCGTAGAAGGTGGGCTTTGCTGCTTTTTCCTACTCATCCACGGGCTTAGTTCACACCTACACCTGGTTAAACATGTGTGAACATAGAGAGATTTTGCATACGCACAGACATATATCATCTACCTGCCCTATCTAACATATTTCCATGTTCTCCAGGATACGATGATGAGAAATCACTCCTTATGTCTCAAAAGGCCTTAGAAAAGAGATTTGGACAGTCCCCAGTTTTTATTGCATCAACTTTCATGGAACAAGGAGGCATTCCACCATCTACCAATCCTGCAACTTTGCTAAAAGAAGCTATCCATGTCATTAGCTGTGGTTATGAGGACAAATCTGAATGGGGCAAAGAGGTGTGAGCCAGAAGTGAGGCATTTCTCTTACTTCAATGTGGTTTGTCTTATTAACCCAACTTGACAATTTCTTTTTTCTTTTTCTTCTGCATCAGATTGGGTGGATCTATGGCTCTGTGACTGAAGATATCTTAACTGGGTTTAAGATGCATGCTCGAGGATGGGTATCAATTTATTGCATGCCTCCACGCCCAGCGTTTAAGGGGTCTGCTCCCATCAATCTTTCTGATCGTTTGAATCAAGTTCTTCGGTGGGCCTTGGGGTCAGTTGAAATTCTTCTGAGCAGGCATTGCCCCATATGGTATGGATATAATGGGAGACTGAAGTTGTTGGAGAGACTAGCATACATAAACACCATTGTTTATCCTCTTACATCTATTCCACTGCTTGCCTATTGTGTACTTCCAGCAATTTGTCTTCTCACAGGAAAATTTATTATTCCTGAGGTGAGTGTCAATTTATCTAAGGCCTTTTTATGCATCTAAAGCAACCCTTGGGCAGTTCCAAGCCCCTACTGGCTTCTCCTTATGCGTTAAGCAGATAGTATACCCAAGTGGCGTATCTATTCAGACACAGGGGTGTCAATAGAAATAAAAGGATTCCTTGGGGGCTGCAAGGTGGGGGGCCATCATGTGGTGGGTTCCTGCATCATGTGGACTTCCTCACTAGACAATCCAACTGGCATATCTATTCAGACATAAGCAACATATTGATGTGCTTCATGTCTAATTTTTTTCTTCTTTTTTCTTGTCAAGGAAAAGGAAGATAAGTTTTTTTTTTTTTTTCTTGACGGGTGGGGAGAGGGGGGTTGAGTGCATGGATATGTGATTGTGTATTGGTATTATCCAAGTTTATGAAGTAAACTAATTTTGTATGACCTAGGTGATCCTAGGCCATGCTTTACCTGGGATGTTAAAATGCTTACACGTGTGTAGTGCCCCCCTCATTGTAGTGAGGCCATTTACTGAAGGAGTTAAGGGCAGTTTTTGAAATTAAATGTTCAATCATAGGATTCTTTGGCAGAAATAGGTGGGGTGTCCAGCGAGCCCCTCATTTTTTTATTAGGAAAATTACACACGCGTCAGTAGATGAATTCTATGTCAGGCATTCTCCATTGTATAATATGCTATCAATACAAACTATTCTTTTACCATTATTTTTCCTGGTCAAAGCTGTAACTTGATAGATCTGTCATAATAATGAATGCAGATAAGCAACCTTGCCAGCATGTGGTTCATTCTGCTCTTCATTTCTATCTTTGCAACTGGAATTCTGGAGCTCAGGTGGAGTGGAGTTGGGATCGAGGACTGGTGGAGAAACGAACAGTTCTGGGTCATTGGTGGTACATCTGCCCATCTCGTTGCTGTCTTCCAGGGATTGTTGAAGGTGCTTGCTGGAATTGATACCAACTTCACCGTCACATCCAAGGCATCTGATGATGATGGGGAGTTTGCAGAGCTGTATGTGTTCAAGTGGACGTCGCTTCTGATACCACCGACGACTGTGCTTATTATAAACTTTGTGGGTATCGTGGCAGGTGTTTCATATGCTATAAACAGTGGGTATCAGTCATGGGGGCCCCTCTTTGGCAAGCTGTTCTTTGCCATATGGGTTATTCTCCATCTCTACCCATTCCTGAAGGGTTTGTTGGGTCGGCAAAACCGTACTCCCACAATTGTCATTGTCTGGTCTATCCTCCTGGCTTCCATTTTCTCATTGCTGTGGGTGCGTATTGATCCCTTCACCTCTGATTCCACGAAAACTGCTACTAAAGGTCAATGTGGCATCAACTGCTAATTCCTATAGAGGTCATTTTGTCGAGGTAACCCCTTCTATCTCCCTTTGGTACACTGTCGTGTAAATAGCAAGCTTCTAAACCAGTATGTGAGGGTACCAGTTATTTATGCTGTATTTTCTATCTACAAGGGAGGTTTACGGGTAACAGGCCAGCCCCTTCTGGCTTCTGCTGTTGCTACATCTGTCCTTGCACCAATTGTTTATGTAGGCCCTATTAGGTTAAAGTAAGGGCATCATCCAAGTAAAGAATTCGGTTTCACATTTTTTGTTGTGCAGTATTTTAATATTTTTATTATTGTAGTTATCATTTAACTTATACAAGCAATTCATGGCTGTAATTCCTTCATAAACAAGCTTTGATAAGTGTTAGAAAGATTCAAAGACTGTAGAATGAGTTTTTTGTGGTTATTTTGGTATAAAATATGAATCGGAAACTTCTTAATATGGAGAGGAATGTTAATAAACAAGTTTATGCAACTTTTAGAAATTTCACACCATGTGAAAAGGAATGGAAAAAAAAATCCCGGCTTCCAACTGGCTTCTCATTGTGTATCGTGGGAGGAATTCATGGTTTTTGTAACTTAATTGATACAACCGTAGAACCATAATTCTTTGAGCTACAAGATTCTGCAGAGATCAAGGTTCAAAATATCGATACAGGGCGATACGTCAATACGCCTGTATCGGTACTGTTTTTTATGTTTTTTTTTTTCTTTGAAATTGGTTGGTGTGTTGGGAAGGCTTCGATACAAAACGTATCGGCCTGATACGTGACAATTTTGATCCTTGGCAGAGATGGGAGATCTTCTTTATTACATGTTCCCGCAAGTGGACCATTGGAAGCATAGATGCTGGCGAATATGCTATTTGGCCATTTGATTCAAATTCCTTAAGGCTATGTTTGGTTTGAAGGAAAAAGCAGGGAAAGGTAGGGAAAATTTTACAAACCTTGTATAGGTTTCCCTGTCTTTTCCTTCCTTTCCCTATCTTTTCCTTTAAACCAAACATAACCTAAAACTCTCTAAAATCCTTATGGGAGTGGTTTGGAGGGTTCTCACTTCTCACTGTTCTTTTTCTTTCAAGGATTGTAAGTTTTCTTATGTACTAGACAATGACCTCTTACTAAGTACCAAACATAGCCTAAATGGTTGACCAACCCAAAATGCAACAGCAACACAACACAATGTAACTGTACCAAACACCCCTTGATGCTGATAAAAAGAAAAATCACAAGACATTTACCGACTCTTCAATACAAATTTGTAAGGGAGATATGTTTTGAGCCCATCAGTGCAAATTGCTATTTCTACCTAATTTATCAAATTTGATATTTCAACATCAACCCAAAATGCAGCAGCAATGCAATGCCACTGCATCAAATGCCCCTTGATGCTGATAAAAAAAATCATAAGACACTTGTGTAAAGGCCTGACTCTTATTAGAAAATCTCTCTCCCGCTGACCTCCTACAGCCTTTACCCATACTTGACAAGGCATGCATTGAAATATCTGTAGATTTAATAAGGTATCCCACCCTTTGCAAGGAAAGGATATTGATGAGGGCGGATTTGACCCTCCAATAATATTGTGACACATGGCACATCAGGACAATTAGGTGATACTCGAAACTATTTTGGCAATAACTTGCCTTAACCAAGTTGATGGTGTCCCACCCGGCAGCCTGGCACAAGCATGGCTTGGTACAGGCGCGGCCTGGCCCTGGCGCGAGCTGGTAGCTTGGCACAAGCGCGACCTGACAGCCTGGCACAGGCACAACCTGGCGACCTGCGAGACGTGCTCACCGACAAATTCGACATGCATATCCTAACACTCCCACGATCCTTGGAAGTTGGCCCATGTGCCGAACGATCCGGAGGGTGGTCAACGTGCATGGCAGTTACTTCCAGGAATCTCGAACCACTTAGACGATCTTGCAGAAATCTCGGATATGGTGCGTGAAGCCCACGCCAAACAATGCCTATATAAAGGCATCAACCCCAAGGGCAAGGAGGGAGAGCAAGTAAGCAAGTAGGCATATTCTAGCTCTCATACTTTATGATTTTTAGCTCGTAGTCTACTATGAGAGTATTGACTTAAGCATCGGAGTGACCTCGCCGGGTTAGCCACCTCGGGTCCTCTGACATTCGGTTCCTTGTAAGACTCTAAAGAGCAAGGAAGCTCGTCACCTAACCTACCCAACCCGACACCTGGTTAGTTCGGCACCTGCTAGGCATCTGGTCAGTTCGACACCTGCCTGACACCTCACAAGTAGCTCACCACCAAGTAGCTCACCACAAGCCAGTTCGCCACCAGGTAGCTCACCACCAAGCAACTCATCAAGGTAGTTCACCACCAGGTAGTTCGCCACCAGGTAACTCACCACTAGGCAGTTCACCACTAGATAGCTCACCACCAGACAACTCGCCACTAGGGAGCTCCACTTCAGCCTCTGAGTCATAGGCCACTTGGGAGCAGACGTTACTAATGAGATACTTAGCCAAAAAATTGATACATCACAAAAAAATTGATACGTGACCAAGAACGGTTACATCATATATCAATTTACATGATTGTGAATTGATCACTTAAAAGAGGCCCATTTCATGGCCCCATCCCATTCTCATACGGCATCTCTAGTATTACAAACCTTTTTTTTGGGTACTTCGTGATGAGTTGGGATCACCTGTCAACAAAACCAGTTCCAACACCCTACTAACTTGATCTGAGACCATACATCTCGCTATAAAACTAAGGCCCACCATAAAAGTGGGACCTGCCATATATAAGGTGTATGGTGTCCGATGTTGTTGATAGGGTGTTGGAACATACTATTTTGAGTCCATGTTTTGTGCACCCCGTAGGTGCACTGGATGCGTGAACCCATGAACGGGAAGACACATCGACTAGGCCAACGTTAACACGTGGTCTGTTCGATTCAATTGGACAGTTCACACGGATAGAACCGGTTCGTGACCGGTTTTGAACACAGACGAAAGGGCCTCATTTCTTCGATTTTGTTTCCCCTGGAGAGCTCCTTCCACCAAACGCTACCCATACACCAAACCCTTCTTCCATCGGTGGCAACAGAGCTCCGGCGGTTCATCGATGACGACAAAGAGACCTCCTGCGGCAACTATTTTTCTTCTCTTCTTAGGGCCGGCGATCACAGCATCCAGCTGAAGTGTGAAGTGTACAGGAGGAGAGGATTATTTCTTTGGTAATTGGATATAAACCGCATGCCACGTGAATAACAGCGGCAGCGGCTGCAGCTGCGGAGAGTTCAGAAAACCGGATCGGAGCCTTTGTCTTTGCCTTTTTTTTTTTATATATATATCGTCTTCTACTTGTCTACAACCTATAAATTTGCTTATTACTCCCGTTTTCTCTCTGGACCCTATATCTCTCTCTGGTATCTCTGCAATAGCTTTAACCAAGTCTCAACTCTCAAGTCTCAACCACTACCTTTCTCCCGTTAAAGTTGTTGCAGGTTTTCTTTACTTGGGCCGGCTGGCTCTCTGGCAAAAGGACAGGTAAACTGTTCCAAGTTTTAGTTCTTATTACTCCCAGATCAGAAGCTGGAAGCCAACCCTCATCTCCTTCGTTATACCCAAATTCCTTTTGCATATAAAGCTGTATCCACTAAAGTCTAAAACCAAACACCCAGAACAAGAAACAACATCTTCATCTCTACTTTCTCAAATCCTGCCCTCCGCCTTCTTTTGTTTTACTTTGAGTTTTCCTTTTCCTAGTTTTCTGCTGCAACACATATAGGTATTAGATGTAGATCTTCTTCTAGTTGAGTCCGTTCTACTGTTTCTCCTATCCTTTACATGAACAATAACAATCTCCTTCTTACTGTAACACAACTCATCTTCTGGACAAATCCGCTCCTAGTCTATCTTGTTCCTCTCACCGAGTCACTGATATTAATCGCTACTGTAACATAATTCATCTGTAGTCGCTGGCCCTAGCACCGGAGCTGCTTGTCGAAGAAGAAGAGAAAAAGAAGAATGGAGAGGAGAAGAAGAAGAGAAGAACACGCCACCATCGATGAACCGCCGGAGCTCTGTTGTCGCCGATAGAGAAAGGGTTTGGTGGAAGGAGCTCTAGATCTCCGGGAGAAACAAAATGGAAGAAGCGAGGCCCTTTTGTGTGTGTCTCAAACCGTTTTGTGTCTGCGTGAACCGACCAGACCATGTTAACGCTCAAACGCACATTAACGTTGGCATGGTCCATATGTCCTCCCATTCACGGGTTCTCGCGTCCAGAGCACCCACGGGTGCACAGAGCAGAACGCGGACTCTATTGGTAGGTAATCTGGACTCGTTGGTGATACGTCCATCACACTTATGACCCCTGTAGTGAACGAGATAGCTAACATACCAACCAACTGATCCACCCCTCAGTTGACTAGTAGCACAAACCTTACCGATATTTTTAAGCTTCACCACCTCCACAACATGCTCAAAGTCAACAGTTATATATTAATTTTTACAATAACTCTTCAAGGTGGTGACCGGTGAGGCATATGCCTCGAAGCAAAGCAGAGCCAAACTGCCTTATAGGCCCAAAAAATAAAAAATTTAAAGTACTTTAGTTGGATATAAATAAACCTTGATTTTTATTTTGCTGAATATAAATAAAAACAAAACAATATAAACTTAAAAGTCAGTCATAATATCACTTCTAACCAAAAATTATCTCTTTGATTTTCTCTCAAATGTACATATATGTTAGAATTTAATCTCCACTACATTTGTCTGTCAATGTAGTTCAGCTTCAGTCAGAGCAAAGCCCGTTCCAACAGCCTTTACATCCTTGTGGTGAGAGATATCCCTAATGTAAGATTGCAAGGGGCTGCTCGGAAGGTGTGAGCACTGAGTTGATCTGATAAAAGCCGAACTCGTGAGAATGGTGTCTCCAATTTAAATGTTCACCCATGACACATGATAGTAGAACCTACTGGTTTACAAACTAAAAATAATAGTTATGATTTTTATTAATAAATAAAGTTTAAATATATAAATATATTAAAAATTAAATAGAATTACGAAATAGTTTTTATCCACTACTCTTAATTACTTATAAATCATTTAGTTCCAATATAAAGAAATTGTATATAATGAAAAATATTCACTAAGTTTCTTTTTATGCCTTAATTCAATTTTAATTAACCAAAATATTCTATACAGACAAACCCCCTTTTGTTGGTATTAATTTTTCATCCTCAAACATTCTTTATCATTTATAAATTAGGTTATATTGAAAGAGTACTAGGATACATGTAAACTAAGTAAAATTATTATTTTATTTAAGTATAAAATGTTATAAATGTAAAACAAAATAAAAAAAATCTTACATTAAAATTTAAAAGTACTATAATCTTAAAAATTAAATATATAAACTGACTATGAAAGAAATGAATTTTGTTTTAAATTGTATAAAGAAATTATGAATATTCAATTTGTTGTATATGTATGAGTAAACTAGAAATATGAAAATTAAGTAGATGGGATATTTTATTTAGGTAAAAAGGTTATAGCCATTAAAAATTAAATATATATAAACAGGATCAATATTAAAACAAATATACATGAAATTAAAAATGAAATATTGTATGACACAGATTAGTTGTAGATATTAGGAACAATTTTAGTATGCATGTATAAATTGTTTAAATTAGGTAGAGAAGGCTATAAACATGAAACAAAATACAAAATAGAAATTCAAAAGCATAGTATTTACTAAAAAGAATATATGTAAATTGGCCATAAAAAGAAACAAAATGTGCATTTGTGTTACTTTATATAAGTACTGAAATTTGATTATATAATGGTAGTGTTACTTTATATCTTTACCATTTTCTTGTACATGTGTATAACACATGCCTTTACGCAAGTATATATAAACACTAAGTATATATATATGCAACTGCCTTGCTTCTGCCTTTAGTCTTTTAAAATGTGCTTCCAATCCCCTCTTTCATTGGTAGACACATGCGAAGCCATCTATAGCAACCTACCTCTTAGGTTGATGTCATCATATGTAAAAGGGACCACGAAGGTTCAACTCATGGAAGATACCCAACCCAATTGCTTAAAGAAAACTTGAGAAGAACGCAAGAACACATGGATAATCAATGCCTATGGCTCAGTTTGGAAAGAGTACAAATGTAAATTTGTAGAACGTAAAACCTTATATTATGTATTATTTTGCATGTATTTGTATCGTACATATTTGCATTTGTACTTTTTCTAAAATGAGCCTATAGAACTGAATAAAAATTTGAAGTTGTGGCCAGTGGGCAAGGTCTTCTTGAGGTAATGGCCACATTGGCAAGCCACCATGGCAACGAGGAGGAACCCGAAATTGGCCCCACAATGCTGTGGGCCTTATCAAATTCTATAGTTAATGGGCCAAATAGCCTACAACTTGGACTTACCCAAAGGAAGCAAGATCCATCCCAACTTTCACATCTCCGACCTAAAAGAGAAGTTACTTGAGCATGTGCAATCTCAAGCAGAGAACCTATCCAACATTATGTTAGATGGAATTATCCAAACAAACCCCGAATACATCCTTCGTGGGCTGAAGATGAAGTGAGAAACAAGGTTGTTTGAAAGAGCAATTTGGATTGCAATAGCTACTCATCAGGCTATGGAACGCCAGAAATAAATTTATGAGCCCCACTATGAAAGCTAATCCTTCTTCCCCTCCCGTGATCAATTAAAAGTAAGATTGTCAATGGATTGGGTCCAGTAGAATCGGAACCCACCCAAGAACCAGAATCTGTGGGTGTAAATGGATCGGCGATCCAATACATGTGCTATTTATTTATTTATATAAATATATAATACATATACACACAATATGCTATTTATTTATTTAAAATCAAACCGGTCAGGGGTCTGGTTACTGGTTCAAATGGTCTGACTGTTCGACCCGAACAGTTGGCCCGTTTTGACAAAAAATAAAAAACAAATTAAAAAAAATAAAAATTGAAAAATGATCGAAACTATTCGAACGGTTAATCGGCCGGTTCAGCGGTTTGCTGACCAAAATCAACGGTTTTGGGGAAAAAAGTGGTTTGGGGGGAAAACGAAACCGGTCAAGTGACCGGTTCCCGGTTTTTCCAGTCTGATCTGATTTTGAAAACATGTTTATTATATTATTTATTTTTTATAAAAAAACATGTATATATGATCAAAATAGTTGAAAAAATACTTATATTTTTTATTTAAATTATTATATTTTATTTTTTTATGATCGGATTAAATCCAAAGATCCAATGATTTTATAGGATTTGAATTCAAATCCTAAGATTCCATCCAATCCAATCCATTTGCATCCCTAAGATAATCAATTCAATCGATTTAGGTTCATCGAATACATCGAATCGGACCCGATTCATTCAGGGCCTTAATTAAATGCATCATAGATTCATAGACCAATGTTTTAGAATAGGAGTAGCAAACGTAGACGTGATTCCACTTTTTTGTATCGTGGGGTATTTTGTTGAGTTTTTTGGGGAGATTCTTTCCATGGGAGTTGAGTAGACCTTTTCATGGGTTGGGCCGGGCTCGGGTTGGATTTTCGTTCTGTATTAACAAATTTTTTTAAGGCCTGAGCCCCACCATCGGGCCCACAACTTGGGCCCGAGCCTGGCCCTCATAAAAAGCCCGAAGCCCGAAATTTAGCCCATGCGTTACTATTGCTGAAGTGGTTGAATAGAAATAGAGAGAGAGAAATTATAAAGAAAAAAATAAAAAATGTATATATATTAAATTATAAATATATATTTTAATAAATATTATATTATTTATGTATTTTATATAATATTATGTATTTTATAAAATATATAATATTGAGTCGGGCTTTTTTGACAAATCCCGAATCCGACCCAAAATATAGTCAGACTTACTGTATTAAGCTCGAGGTCAGGCCCGCGGGCCTAATTACATGACCACGCCCAACCGGGGTGTGGGCCGGGCCATCGGGCTACCCTGCCCATGAATAGGTGTAGACTCTAGAGTTGAGCAATGAGCATGTTGTTGATCGTTGTGGAAAGTGAGAGGGTGAAAACACGACCTACAAAAGTTTGGGTTTCCTTTGGAAGGTAGCTAGCTGCCTAGCTGCATTTAATGGTTGTTGGTAGCTTTTACGTGTCAACAGAGTGGATCAGTTAAATCTACATTCCTCAGAGTCAGCTAGCTAATTAAAACTAGAAGACAGATCATGCCTGCTTCCCTCCGGAAGGAATCTAATGGAAAGTTCGCATTTTTTCGACTATGGAACTATTCAACTGTAACTATTAAAGTCGAAGGTTCTACCCAGAAAGCCCCGTTCCTCTCTCTCTCTCTCTCTGTTCAATATGAGAAAATGGGGAGCTAAATTTTCTTGTAATTTAATGTTTATTATTGTAAATGTATTTCTGTGCTTAAATCTGATATGTGCAAAAGGGTTTGAGCCTCTGATCCAGCTTCCTCGGTTTCGGAGTAGAAACCGACTCAGGTTCAGAAGGGTTGTTTCGGTGAAGGACTTCGGAGCTAAAGGAGACGGTTTGACTGATGATAGTCAGGTAGGCCACTGTTATGGTCCCAAAAGGCTAGAAATGAGTCTGAGATATGTTTGTTCTGTTATCTCAGTTGAGTTGTTTTTCTTTTTCTTTTTTCATTTTTTTAGTTACGGGAAATGATGACTTAGTTTCAATGTTGCAGCATCCGGTAGGACTTGCTTTTTCTCCTTTTATGGTGACATAATATATCTCATTTGTTAAAATATAAGCTAGATGAAGAAGATCATGTTTTAGAATAAGTCCTGATTACCCATCTATCAAAATTTTCGGCATATGGAGAAAGAAGTTCATGTGCATTTTCTCTTTTTCCTAATTGAGACGAGGAAACGTCGTACCCATGAACCAAAGTTGATGTTTTGATTAAAAAAAGTAAAAATAAAGTAGACATTGATGTCAGCTAAGGAATTCTGTGTTGCAAGTTGCAACTGGGAGAAAGCCTTCAAATTGAAATTAATAGAGGATTGGGATTTTTTAACCAGTAGTAGTTAGTGTCTTTCTCATTTAAAACACCTGTGCAGAGGCATAGGTTAGATTGGAAACTGAGTACTTTCTATACCTATTTATTGCTTCCAGCCTGCCATTCACATTACAAATGGAGAAAACCTTCTTTTCCTGTTCGTTTTTCTTTTTCGGTAATGTGACTTTACGAAAAGCATTTCATGAAATTATTTCTTTATTGACAAAGAATGTTAATTTGTTTGTTTGGTGGTAATTTCTGATGAATTACATGTTTTCAGGCTTTCACGGATGCCTGGACGTTTGCTTGTTCTTTACCATATCGACCAAGACTTGAAGTTCCAGCTGGAAGAACTTATTTGGTTGGGCCAACCGATTTTTCTGGGCCTTGTCGATCAAGTCTGACATTGAGGGTATGTATCAAGTTCCAAATTGCCCCAACACCTCCTTGATACAAACTTCTGGTTAATGATTTTCATCCTTTAACATGTTTAATCTTGTTCTGAATTTATCTAAACCAAGTTTCCAGCTGTTCACTCATTTATATTGAAGATTCCATCTTGACAGGTCTCTGGTAATATAACTGCTCCCAAAAATCCTGCTTCCTGGAAAGGTTTTAGTCGAAGAAGATGGCTCTATTTCTATAGGTTGAACCGCTTCACTGTAGAAGGAGGAGGGACAATTAATGGGATGGGAAAGGAATGGTGGGCTAGGTCTTGCAAGATCAATGCAACATATGTAATATTATCTGCCTTGGGGTGTTTCTTTTTCTATCTGATTTTTTTCCTGTATTTGGTGTCTGAAATTGGCATTCAATTATTTTGCAGCCATGTCGACATGCTCCAACGGTTAGTATTGCAAAGCTACATCAATTATTTGGCCCATGCTGCTACTTTTATAGATTTCATCTTCTGTCTTGTTCAAAAAAAAAAAAAAAAAAAAACTATTCCCCCTTTGTAGCCCAGGTGTTTGTTTATGGTACTTTCTTTTGAGGTTATTATTTGAGAACTGAAGAAATATATAATTGCATTACAGGCAATTACTTTTCGTAGGTGCAAGAATTTGAAAGTTCAACACCTCATCATAGTGAACAGTCAACAAATGCACATGGCTTTCTCAAAGAGTCATTGGGTCATGGCGTCTTATCTCCAAGTGATTGCCCCTAGGGAAAGCCCCAATACTGATGGAATCCACATAAGTGCATCCACCCATGTTGTGATCAAATATAGTGTGATCAAAACAGGTTTGCTCAAGAATTTCAAATTTTCATATATTCAGATTTTAGACATATTTTGTTAAAGGTTTTGGTTCATATCAAGTTGCTAGAAATTATGTAATGATACAAAAGCACCAACGTGGTAAAACAAGATGGGTTGAGTTTTTATCCGGTTGCATGATAGTTTCAGATTTGACAATTATTCTAAGATAAAAAAGATTTGTTATTGTATATCCACATCTTTCTTAAGATGTTAAAAAGGAGAGGTTGGCAATTGATAGGATGTTAAAAACAAAACAAAACAAAACAAAAAGTCCCACACCTGATCTTGATAGGATGTTGGCAATTGAGTGTTCAACTGTCATGGAATCCATTGGCATTGGGCATTCAAAGTAGAAAAAATGTATCTAATGTATACAGTTTTGTGGTCCTTGAGCACAGTTCTGCCCCATCAAATGTCAAGTTCTTCAATGGGTAATGAATAACATGGGTATGAATTTTCTAAGCAATCTGATCTATGATGCCTAGATACAGATACGAACATGGATGAGTTTAACAGAGAGAGAGAGATTGGGAAACAGGGATATGACTCTCCATTTCCTAAAATCCTGGACACAGATACAGGTATAGGTATCCCATGTAATATGCTTATATTATGAATTATATCTAGTTTTCGAAGCTAACTGTAATCTTTCAAGCCTTATTTTTCCAAATTTAATTAAAATTTCTGAAATGTGCAGTTATTTTTATAGTATAACTAAATAAAATATACCACTTTACATATTTTAAAAGCTTTATACTATAGAGTACATCTAGAAGTATCCTTTGCAGTATCCAGCATCGTATCCGATATATACCAGTACACTAGGCATGTATAGTATACAGCACTTCAGGTTTTCTAGAGTTTGCATCCCTTATTTTTACTATTACTATTATTTTTTGGTTCATGGGGCTACACAACCCCAAGAGGAGGGGAGGGAGTCCATCCCCCAACTTTGGTGACAGTGGGATTTGATTCCAAGTCTCCACTACAACCAGACAGAGACCTTACCAACTGAGCCACCATCAGTTATGGTTTGCATATCTTATATCACCACTAAAACGTAGTATATTTTTCCATTTGCAGCAGTGAAATCCTCAGCCATCCTTGCTTCCCTGGGATTGATGTTCTCTGACTATTTGTTTGATATTTCAGGCATCCAGTTACGTTGTTTTATGCTACTTGACTTTTAGTTTACACCAAGCTGTTTTAAGGTTTCCTGAAGTGCCTCATCAAGTTTGTAAAAGTATAACTTAGGTTGAAGTTGTCTTTACTACTAGAAGCATATCTTAGGTTTTGCTTACTCTTTGGCCTTCAGTTTTCATGACTAGCCATTTTCCAGTTCTGTTATTCTTGAACCTTTTGTAACTCTGCTAATGTGAGCTTGTCTTACACTGCCGGTCCCAAGATAGTTAACGATTTCACATTCAGTCCTGATTTGTAAGGCTTGTCCTTTGTGGGCAAAGTGTCATAAATATCATTTCTTTTATCATTAGATTGCTTCTAAGTTCTAACATCTAACTATTAATAGGTCATTTGTTACAGGATTTTGCATACATTAGCACTGATTCTGTAATTTGAATTCTCTTTGACTTATTATAGGAGATGACTGTGTCTCCATAGTCAGTAATTCTTCCATGATTCAAGTCAGAAACATTTATTGTGGACCTGGCCATGGCATAAGGTAAGACATTTTGAACTTAAATTACTGATAACTCAGTATCTTTTAACAGAGACTAATTCCATTCAATATCCAATAGTATAGGAAGTTTGGGGAAATCAAATTCATTGGATAGCGTGAGCCATGTCTTGGTTGATGGAGCCATCATATCAAATACTGAAAATGGGTTGAGGATCAAGACGTGGCAGGTAATCTTCAAAACTAAGTATGTACCAATTAACTTTGCATAAAAGAAATGAATCCATAGTTTATTAATTTTTCCATATTTCTGCATGCCACTTAGGGAGGTCATGGTTTTGCCAAAGATATCACTTTCCAGAGTGTACAAATGGAAAATGTTTCAAACCCAATAATAATTGATCAATATTATTGTGATTCACCACTGCCATGTCCAAACCAGGTAAAACATTCTTCTTCTAGTAATTTTTTGTTTCCACCAAAAGCAAGAAGAAATTCCCCTGGGATGCTCTCTCCAACACAGAGCTTGTATCAAATGCTCTGAAATGGGTTAAAATGCATTTTGATTGAATATTAATGCTTTTCATCAGTTTTAGATTCAAACTTGCTATTTGCAAAAGAAGAGTTCATCCCAATGGGAACTTTTGAAGAACTTTCTAGTTGCTAACATCATTATCCAAGGATATGCAGACTTCGGCGGTTCAGGTGGTTAATGTTTCTTATGTGGGCATCAAAGGAACCTCAGCAACCGGGGAAGCAATAAGATTTGCTTGCAGTGACACTTTCCCATGTAAAAAAATATATTTAGAAAATATACATCTAAGATCCTACTTGGGGGAGCTTACAAGAACCTTTTGCTGGAAAGCTAGGGGCTCCAGCTATGGTTCAGTATGCCCTCCTCCTTGTTCCTCATGGAATAGAAACTTCATTGAGCAGCTAGTTTATTCTAGCACTACCAATCATCTTCAAGTGGAAGAAGAACCTTTGCCAATCTAATATACAAGATGTGCCAGGTTTGGCATCTGATAGTAGCATCTTGCAACAGATTTAGTGTGCTTCAGTTGATGTTATTTACCTTCAATACAAAGAACAAAATAGTTCATCACAAATGGCTACTGGCGAATGTTAAATTCATTATGATTACTTCTGTATACATTTTTTTTGTCATTTTATTAATATTTCATATATTATTGTCTTATATTTTTCTTTTGAATCAGCAAATAAGGTCAATTGTATGTCATAGTCTAAGTCTCTAAGAGTCAGGAATACAAAGGACAATACTTTAAACCAGAGACCAACAAGCAAGAAAATCGGGTCCTTGAACTCTCTCAAATTGGGTCAACATCAAATGTAATAATAAAAGCAAACTTGTGAAGCATCAATTCCTCTCAAGGTTAAAGTATACCAAGTAACCAACAAAAGATGAGTTGTCTTCTTACCAAAAAGAAAAAAAAGGGAATAATTAGTGCACTTCAAGCCTCTGTTGTTTTATAGTGATGCCAACTCCTTTGCCTTTCATCAAGATTTCAGTCAATCCCACTTATTGTAGCATGCCTCAATTTGATCATTAATGAGTTTTGTAATTAATACAATCATGTATTGGCAGAGGTAAACTTGTCAAGATGTTGAATCAGGATTAGTAACCCGTCCATTACAACAAAAACACAGTAATGCTGACCATTCTCAAATCACAATTATCACAATCCCTTAAACCTGGTGCTTCCAAGGGAATAATTGGATTTTAGTAAGAAATATCTTCTATCCAAGTCGTTTCTATTTAAGTTAGTTGCCACATTGAGTGAAAAGGAAAGGGTGGAATGGAAAAACAAGGATCACAAGCCAATTTTAATGATAAGAGACACTTAAGATACTATGAACTCTGTCAAACAGTTCAGCAATGTCTGGCATTCTCTTTTTTTTTTCACAAATAAGTTGGATCTACTGTAAAATCAGCGTGAATTTTCCTCCACATTGCCCAAGGGGTCTTCTTCCAACAGCATGACCATCACACCAAGGAACAACTTGATCCAATTTAGCTTCAAGGGATCATCATTCCGCTTGAGGCAAATGTCAAAGATGGCTTTTATTTGCAAGAGGGATGACTGATGTGCTTTTTAAAGTCTTACATGCTAGCGAACACCAAGCTTGGGGCACCCAGCAGCAAGAGGTAAATCCAAGTTGTCTACAGTTCGGAAAGTTCTGGGAACCATCCTGTCAACATAGACTGTACCATCCAAGTGATCACACTCATGTTGCAGTATGCGCGCCTGCCAGCCTGAAGCTTCTACTTTAATGGGCTGACCATTGCGATCCAAACCTGTAACCTCAACGTTAAGATAGCGCTCAACCATGGCTCTGAATCCATCAACACTGCCAATATCACATCAAACATAATTAAATTGTACTACTAATGTAACAGCATGGGGCAAAAACCACGAGTAAAGAAGATTTGGGCTTTAGATGGGAATAAACATGATTTTCCAAAACCATTTCGTTACTGTTCTGAAACATGGAAGCATCCATATTTACATAGAATCAATGCTCTTATGCCATCCTCTAAGATTTATGTTAAATGTTTTTCCATATACTGGAAATAGGTTAACACTGAAAATACAAATTGTCTATGAAAACCACTTTATGACTATGTAATAAGCAAGCTAAATCAATTAATCCAACTGAATGTTGTCTGCTAATCCATGAGATCATGAAACATCAATTCTGTAACAAGTTGCTTTAACAAATCTTCACAGATGTAATTAATGAAAGTCCATTGTTAGATTAAAGTGAGCTTCTTACCTCAGGCACCCTTCAAAGAATAGTGCAGTTTTATTGCTCTTGTTTTTCAGCTTTGGATTCAATATTATCTGCCTCAAAAGAATTCATAAATAATAGCAATCCAGAAAGAAAAAAGATTTATTTGTTGATGACAAGGAACTACATCTAGATCTTTAACTTTGCATGTATTAACTTACCAAAAGATCAAAAGGGCGCCTGTCTTGTGATTTAATTTCTTCCTTGGGAGCATAACTAATATATTCTTTTGTATCTTCCAGAACAATTATCTGCAAAGGCAAAATGGACAACCTATTATTCTTCCTTCCAGTATTTTATTTGCACCTTAACAACTTTACCATTATTGTCTATACAGTTTGTTACTATTTATAAATTTTGGATGGACTACCAACATCTTTCATGATCTAATTGGTATAAAGTACACATCTTGATATCATCTAACAATACTTTAAGTGTCAATTGACAAATTGTTATGTAAAAAAAGTAATACTAATTATATTTTCTAGCACTGTTCAAGCTGTTAAATTTCTTCATAAAGAAGCTTATTCCTGTCTGTCACTCCTGGCATTAATGACCATCAGAGTAACTCTTTCTTAACTACTCAAAACATTGGACTTAAAGATGTAAAAAGAGCCATTACCCAATGATACTCTCAGGTATTTGAGGTTTTAGGAGGGCTAGACTGGACTTTGGTATTTCTTGCACAATGTGATAGGTCTTAGATGTTCTACATAAAATCATTTGTCTGGCAGCAAGTACACAAGCAATCATCTATCTTCAGATATTGACCAAGAAGTGAAAAAGAAAAGAAACAAATCTCAAATTTGGATGCAAGTTTTAAATAGTTAAACATCCAATCCATGCAACTTATTAACATGGCTGGACAAGGTGGAGAGTATAAAATTTACACTAAAAACTGAAGTATCTAACTTGATACAGCACACCATTGTATTGGTAACCAGGTATCAGAGGATACATTGTGAACAATACTTTATTCCCAAAAGTATAGAATTAGCCTTCTATGTATAGCCAAATGTATTAGTACAAGCAAGTTTTAATGTCAAATATCATTTTAGATATTGAGCCACTCTATCATACTTCAGCATTTCTGTGGGTTTGGCAGGCAAAATTATTAGTCTATGATTGTTGGATAGATGATCCTTTCTGCCAAGTAGGAGACAGATTTTGCAGTGGTTCTGATTCATCTATCACAAACACTTCAAATTAAATGCTAAGAACTTTAATACTAGCAATTTCATGCTGTATTATGATGGCATGGAAATTTCTAAGCAATTGGAAGGAAACAAACATCAGAACATTGCCAGCACAGGTGACTGTCATTCACAATATCATGGTGCCTCCAATTCCTATCAACCAATTGGAGACAATGTAGGAAACTAATTGACTTTCAATATGAGAATTGATAACACAGACTCCCATATTGATAACACAGGAAATATAGATCACTATATGATCAGATGTTGTTAAGCATCGCTTAAGTACAAGTAACTAGGAACAATGGAAATGGTACAAGTTTTCTCCAACAGAGCAACTAAAGAAAAGATGAAATACAACATACAGGAGTGGGAACCCCGATTGCTCCCATTCATTCTCACTAATCAAGTCAACAAAAATCCATAAAACTAAAAAAAGGAGTAAATTTTCAAGTGACCCAATATTTTGTTAATACAGAAGAATGCAGAAACATAGAGCTCACCTAGAAAACTGACTCAACGAAATTGCTCACATCTATTCTCATTAATCAAACTAACAAAAAGCAATAGGATAAAAAAAGAGTAAGTTTTCAAGAAAATTATCAATTTGGATTAAGCTTGTATCAAATGCAGTATCTATGGAAATTAGATTAAAGGGAATTGGAAGGAACCTTCAATGGGATTCCAATCTGAGGAGCAGCAAGACCAACCCCAGGTGCCTTCCTCATAACCTTGATCATGTCTTCAATTATTTTCTGGATCCTCTCGGACCCAATTTCATCGGCGGGAACATCGCTTGCTGGCTCGTGAAGTACGGGGTCACCCGCCCTAACTATATCTGGCAACGAACTTGTCTTTTTATCTCCAAAACCTAAAAACCAACCTGCTCGAGCAGTTGAAGAAAAACTGTAAGTTCTTCTGGTAATAAAGTCGACACTGGAGACTGGTTTCAGCAGTGAAATTCCGGATCCGAAGCCTCGTTCCTGGTTTTCGTTGATGCCCAAAACTGGCCTTATCGCAAATAGGTTGTTGTTCTTCGAGTTTCTGAAGCATTTTTCGGCAATGGAGATAGGAAGTAAGCGATGAGAGAATCGCTGAATGATCTCCATCTTCTTCTGCACTGCTTCTGCTCACATAAACAAAATCTATCCCGAATTGAGAAGGGTTATTTAGGTAATTCCGTTGTAAGATTTATCCGGGAAGAAGATGAATGAGTCCTGTGGAAATTCGAAAATAACCTCTCCGATTATTTACCCAGTTGACGAGTTAACGGTTCATCAAAGGGCAGAGACCAAAGAGACAATGGGCTGGGCCAGAAGATGGATGTACCAGCCCAATAATAGCTATCCATTACTTCTAATCCCCCATTACTTGCGACCTTTGCATGTAAGACCCATCATTAGATGGTCCCATTTTCTGCACCAAAATTCAGCTGATCAGATGAATCTTGTCCATTGAATTATCGTTCAACTTAATCTTTGGTCTAGCTAGCCACAAAAATGGGATCTATCTAATGGTGGGCCCAGACCAGTATACAGGTCTTGTTGTTGTAGCCGCATACGCAAGTTTTTTTTTACTAAAATACAATTTATGTTAAAAATATTCTATAAAATAATTGTGAGACTAATTATGTTTATGGAGAGACTATTGGGTAATCAAGAAACAATATATCCAAAAATAAAATTGAGCAAGACAAAAATTGCATATATTGAGATGAATGAGTAGAAAAACTAAAAATTATAGGATCAGAAATAAATCACCCAAAACCTAGGAATAGCTCCCATAGATGACAAAGTAAAAGAAAGTAGATGATAATTTAGTCACGTATATAGAAGACCATCAACAACACCCATAAGAAGAAATTGTATCCCCTCTCATTAATTTTGTTTTGTTAGTGTAAAATCTTCAAATTTTAGCTATAGTAAAATTTGAACCTTGGTCACTTAATTTTAACAACCACAAGTTCGCCAATGAAAAACACGTATTTGTTTGTTATGATAATATGTATTTTTAATTTTAAGTAAATTTTTACTTTTCTTAATGAGTTACAAGTGCTTATTAATAAATGCTAGAATTAATTATTAAAAGTTATATACTAATAAATATTAAGATTAATTATATTGGTTTTTTAAAAATTGATATTCACATTTTAGTTGTTTTTTGTTTTTTTACATTTTATTTATTCCATCATTTTCAATGGTTACTAATTGTGTCTCGATATGTCACACTTTATATAAACCATTAAATTATGGTTTTTTACATTTAAATGACTTATTCACAATCATATAAAATTTATAAATATTGTTAGTAATATATTTTTTAGGATTTATTTGAATTTTTTACTATATTTATGTGTATCTTGATTTTTCGTTTATATCCATAGTATCCAAAGCATATCCCGATATGTCTCTTAAAATTGTCTTTCTAGTACACCTTATGTTTCCAATACTTTGAACTTTGCTGATAATTTAACAATGGACATGTCATTAAACAGAACAGATTGGTGAAAAAGGATTCATGTAGCTGACCATGTATTGTTGAAATAAAGCTTGAATGGTGATGATCTCATAAACATAAACTATGCTAAAGCCCAAAGTGTGGCAATTCTCTTATTGCCCATTGAAGAGGCTTTCACACAGCAGCTTCTAGCATTGCAAGATTGGCCCCACACTGAAGGCCATGAAGTCATGTTGGATGAAGAACCCAAAAAGCCAAAAAGAGGTTTATATGAGCTGAGAAATCAACTTTCCAGTGAAACCCCTCACCTTCAATTGTCAAAAGTAAAGGAAAGAATCCTTCCGAGAGACTTCAAAGAAAATTAGCCTTTGGGATGAGATCAAAAAGCCGTTTTTCTCTATAAACAAACATCAACTCATCATTACCTAAGAAGGGGAAGAAAATGGTGAGAAGCTTGAGTGGTTTCTCAGGACTCCACTTACTGAAAAAAAGGAAATTTATTTCAACTTTTCTTATGTATTTTACAACTAGTTAAAAGTTTTTATGATTTCAGATAGAAATGTTTAGATTGTAATGAGTTAAATCTCAAGAAGACAATTCACTTTATTTACTGAATAATCTCATCAAGACAATTCACTTTATTTAAGTGGGTTTCGTTTTCTCCTCAACAGGTGAACAAAAAATGTTACGGTACAAAGGGTGCATTTAAATATTAAATGTTGGGGGAGGTTTTTGTGGATATGAAAGTATCACAGTATATATTAAAAAACATGAAAAAAGGTTTAAGTAGTAGGGGTGAGCAAATGGGTCAGTTCTATTCTACCCAAAACTAATTAGAACCAGTCTTCAATCAATCTATTCTCAGCTAGGGTCTGATTTTAAATTCTTGGAACTGGCCTTCACCCAAGCCAATTCCAAAGCCTGAGGGTTTATCTTACCCCAACCAACCGGAGAACCAGCCTTGATTAAATTGGCTTTGGTGGAACTGGTTTCTGTGTAATTTGAACTTAGCATATGGATTTGAATTATAGATTACGTATTAACTATGAAATATTGTTTGGGTTGATTGTGGATTATATCCTATTTGCATTGAGATTGCATTTTATTGAACTTTGGAATGTATATGAAACTGGGTTATGGATTACTAATGATTATGTGATATTATTTAGGTTGTTCATGGATTATGTTTTATTTCATTGGGATTGAAAATTTCTATGGATTTGAAATGTGGAATGTTTATAATAGGTTGTTATCTCAGGTGAAAGCTTTGAAAGGTAAAAAGATAAAAATAGCATATTGTTGTTGTTGTTGTTGTTATTTTTTAGACTTATTTGGTTGTAGTGCAATTTTATTTGCATTGGTACAAATGTATGTGAGTAAATATGTAAATAATGCAAATTCTTGTTTATTTTTATTTTGGGTTTTACTTTATTCTGTTTCATGTCTTTATTTACTTTATTTGTATTGCGATCAAACAAAATAAGTTAAAATTTGAAACAGAAATAAGTCAGAATCTACACTCAAATCATTTATACTGCCATGGTTTTGCATCAGTACAAATTTATTTGTATTGCAACCAAAAACAGCCTTAGGCTCTATTTAAAAGGAGTACAAATACAAATATCTAGAGTGCAAAACCTTGTATTTTATATTATTTTGTATGTATTTATACAGTACATAGGAACATGTTTCATGAGTAGACCTTGGAACCGCTAAATCCAAATCAACCTTGAGAGGATAGGTTTCGTATTCTGCATTAGAACCAAATCAAACTAATCCGTGCTTAACCTTATGAATAAATTTTCCAAAATATTAAAGGCAAAATCAAACGAAGGTAGAGATGCCTTTGAATGAGGACAATCATTTCAAATTAATTGGAGACAATGGGAGATAGAAGAAGAGAGACAAAAGGTTTAAAAGAAGTAGAAAGAGAGGGGGACAGGGGGATAGAGATACAAGAATTTTTTTGTTTGAAAACTTTGTTTTGATTTAATTTTTATGTAAAAAAAAAAAGAAAAAGAACTCCATCTCCATCTTCACATTAGAGGATGGTGAGGGAACAGGTGCCTCTCCCACCTAGAAAAAGAGAGAATCCTCCATTTTACGGTGGATAACAAAGGCCACATCTAACATACACGAAATTAATGCTATAAAAAATGATTCGTATATCTTTTGAGAGTCAACTGTTCTTCGAGTCCGAATCTCTTGCCCACACAAATTTTATACACGTTTACCCACATAACATTATAGTTATACATGAACAATATTTCATCCTCCTACATAATATTATAATATTATACAGGAGAAGATGTTCCCAGTTCACGTGGGCATCTCCAGAATCGTGTTCTTCACCATCAAAGCTATTTAAACATCCTCTTTTGCTTTGGGGATCAAGTCAAAAGCTAATGATTTAGTGTTCCAAAAGTGGAATCAAATTCCCTTTGTTCTGTCTTAGTTCAAAGAAATTAAAATTAATTGTGATAACACAGGTGACGTGATTTTAATATTATGATCATCATCATATCCATGACGTGGTTCTAATCTCCACCATGAAGATGAGCATCCCTCCCTCCTTCAATAAAGGAGTTTAAATACACGTCAGAGGGGTAGTGGGAAACAGAGACATACATTCCCAACACAGAGACATACATATCCAGTGGGCCGTGCTTCTTGAAAATGTATTTTTAATCATGCACTCGGAAAAGAAAAACTACTACATTGCTTCGAACCAAAGAAATGGTGAAATACAAACTCACTTTTCTTTTCTTTTTTTTTTTTTATTTCGCTGTCCATATTCAACAGCTTGGGCTGTCAATAGGACTCTCCTTGTATGGCACGTTAATTCACCATGTGATGCATTCTATATTGATATTGTTGCAAAGGAGTATTCATCGGGAGAACCTTGGTGACAGGGCTGGAGATAGAATCATACGCACCGAGGGACAGCTTCTCTATCACGAGTGAATATGTCAGTGTTTCTATACATAAGACCCATTCAGACCTTATATACAGTAACTAGAGTAATTAGAGTAATTAGGGGTGGGAATAAATTGAACTTTTTACAAGTTATTCGAGTTTGGCTAAATTGAGCTTTTCACAAGCTATTTGAGTTTGGATGGCTTATGAAAAATTCAAATCGGCTTAGTCTAAATTAAGCTTTGAGCCGAATTTGGCCCCAATATATAAGTTTGTTTTTTAATTGAGTCGAGCTTGAGCCTAGTATAGCTTGGCTCATAAGGCTTGTGAGTCTAATCGAGCCTATATATAATAAAAAATAAAATATTATATATGTAATATTTCTAGTTTTTATATGTATAATAATAAGTAGTTTTTATAATTCTTATATTTTTATAGGTAAAATTAACAAGCATTTTTTATATTTATAGTTTTAAAATTTTATAGGAAGCTTGGCTCATAGTCAAGCTTGAGCTTACGGGCTTTTGAGTCAAATCAAATTCAAACTCAAACTCAAACTCAACTCTCTAGCTCAAACAAGCTCGAGCCTCGTGGCTTTCTTGCGAATTTAAGCTTGAATAGCCAAATATTCAGCTTGGCTCAATTCAAATCCACCCTTAATAATAACACTGGCGTGTTCGCTCATGATAAATTGCTCAACCCATTATGCATGATTTTGTCTCCAACCCATCTAGTCTCTCATATATCGTGGGCTCGACAAGGGTATCACTTAGGGGTGAGCATGTTGGTTCAATTCCATAGTAGAACCTAGAACCTACCCTATAGGGGTCGATTCCAAGTTTTTGGAACCGGAGCCTACCC